AATACCAGGTTCCAAGTAATAACTCTACAGTACAAAGAGAACTGAATATTCATTCTAGGGCTATAGAATATGAACTTCACAATTCATTTGGGTACATTCTCATTGAATTTCCTTCAAAACAATGTGTTCCTGGTGCCCAGTGATAATTCAGTCGGGACCAGCATGACTAAAAGGAAGGGGATATGCTAATGCTCAGCAAAGTGACCCTAAAGGAGAGAGATGTCCCAGGATGGAAGGAAGAAGACGTGGTTTAACCAAGCTAAGCAGTCCACTCATCCTTCTATTTTGGAAAAGGAGTGGAGTGGGGGCAGCCTAAGAAGAACATATCTGGATTGGGAAGGACTGTTTTTCTGGGCTAGGGATGGGGAAAAAAAAGGGAGTATGGAAAGACAAATTGTAAGAGATTTGACTGAAACAAAGAAAAAAAAGCAAGTCCCCAAATGTGCTAATCCTTGAAAGTAACTGTCATTCCCAAATACTGCTGTTACCAGCAAGTGATCAGGAAGACTAGGAGCTATTTCTGACTGTAAATGAATTGTATAATCGCTCTGCTGCAGTTCTGTGACTTCCAAGCCAGGAATTAAACACTCTTTTTAAGAATAACAAAAAACATAAGCATTTCCTATGCTAGTCTCCTAGTAAAATGTACATGTTTCGGAGGCTTCAGAGGTATTATCTGAGTTCATATTTAGCAACAGCTTATTAATAACCCTCAAGCTGTCAGAATCTCTATAGTTACCATTTACAATTTTATACTGTGAAAAAAATACAGATCAGTGAAAGCATAGAGATAAACCAGAATTCACTTTGAAGAGGGTCTGAGGCCTGGGAGATTCTCTACTGTCTATTGAAGAATGAGGCATGTATAAAATAGTTGGTTGAATTTCACTGATCTTCCCAATGTGAACAAATATACTATGTATATTGTGTGTATTTCTAGAAATCAATGGCAGCTGATGATGGTGTTGTAATTAGAAATCTATATAGATTATAGATGTTTTAGAAAGATGGTGCCAATCCTAAAAGATTTGTGTGGGCTAAAAGTGCTTGTACTTACTTTTTTCTGCACTTATAACTGATTTGGTTTTAAGATTGTGTGCGTGTATCTGTTCTTTCTCTGTTGTGGCAGCTTGTACTATTAAAATAATAGCGAATGTTAAATTATTTTGATGTGAATTGCAAATGTTTTTTTTCATAAAGTTTAACATTTTTATCAGCATTGTTTTGCTTTGTACTTGTATAAATATGTCTTATTTTAGCACTTCAAAATATACTTGCCTGTTTCTCAGTTGTCTAAATCATGTTGCAGTTGGTGTTTGTGAAGCCAGTTACTTTTCAAAAAACATTAAAAAAACTATAATATGATTTTAAGATTATTCACCTCAAATGTTTAGAATGTTGTCTTCGTAGTGTTTTCTAAGATGAAAAGAGCCATGATGCTAATTAATCTTGAATACTGGATGATCTATACTTTTGAATTATGGGTTTTACAAAGTAAGCAGTAGACTGTAGATTTAAATGAAACTAGATACCAACCACAAACTAACCAGAGATGCTGTCCCCAAAGACATCTACAAACAACTGTTACATAAAGAAGGACCTTTTAAGAAGAAATGTAGGAAAAATGCATTGTTTATGTGTCTAGACATACAAATTATAGAAATAGTTTCATAATTAGCTGTGTCGATAGAGTTAACATCACACAGATAAAATAGAGTATTTGTGTGAATATACATGTGTGTTTTTACAAACATACATATTTATATAGACATTTGACTTTTGAGTCCATCTGTTTGTATGTCTGTGTGTATATATGTGTTTGTGTGTATATGTATGTGCATACTACATAATTTTTCCAGAAAAAAAATTTGTCAAATTACTTTTTACTTTGACTGATTCTTAAACAAATATACATTACCTTAACACAAATTATTGAAAAACTCAGAGGAGAATATAGGGTAGATGCTTGCTGTATGGAAGAGAAAAACATGGTATATTTAAAAATGTATCTGCTCTATGCTTCTGACATTGTATTATTTAAACTCATAATGATATATATACACATATATTATTATACAAAATGTATTTGATCTTAACAAAGAAAGCCATTTTATCTGTTTTGTCAGACTCTTCCCTTCAGTCTCTTTTATTCTAACATGATGTGAGTGGTAATATATTCGCATAAAATTGAGGTTGAAGTGACATATACAAACCATGTACAGGAAATTACCTTCTAAAAATCAAAGAAGCCTTATCAGACTCCATCAAATTATGGAAGGCCATGTAAAAGCAGTGGATACAATAGAAATAGCACTGAATTAAAAGTCAGGATCTCTTACCCTTTCACCAACTGACTTTGGATAAATCACTCTGATATCTCTACAACTTGTTCCTCTTGCTTTAAATGTAGATGTGAGTTACAATAATCTCTGAAGTTTCTATCATTTCAACATTCCTGATAAATTCTCAGTAGTAGTCATTATTAGTGGCAATGTAGTATTTAATATACAGGTAATATTCAGCAGGAAGCTTAAATTTGTTCTATCAATGTTAGCTGTGGAGCTTAATAAGTTCCTGTCTAACTTAAAGCATGTATCATGGAGGAAACCTATTGGGGTTTGAACTTACATGCAACCTTGGAATTGTCCATCAAGGACAACTTAGTAAGCTGATATTGAACACCACAGAGAGAATGCTTTTCCTCTGTTATAATTCCTGCTGACCATTGGCCAAGTTTTTAGTTATGCTGTACATAAATGATCAGTTTTAGAACATAAACAATTTTCAAATATTTACTTTGTATGATAGCTAGGTAGCTAGGTAGGTAAGTAAATAGGAAGGCAGAATTATATTAATGAAATTATCTCCATAAGCAAAAGCTTGGTATTTACATTTTCTCTCACCATATTTTGAAATTCAGGATCAGTTTATGAGTGATTTTCATGAGTGAAATTCGTCTCACTCTATTTATTACTTTTAGGTTATTACATTAGTAGGTAAGTTCTATCAAGATAACTTTTAAACCCATCTTCTCCAGCCATTCTTAGAATCTTAAACCAAAAGATTTCCAGGAATATTTAACCTCCACTAGAATAAATATTTAAAATCACTGTTACTCCAGGACAAAGACATTTATTTTTGCCAGGACATAAGTCTCTCTGAGGTATAATCTATAAACAGGCTAGCTATGAAATGTACATATCAGACACTCTGGCTTATTTATGTTTAGCTTGTACTTCACTGACATAAAAAATAAAGCTTTTCATACTATCATATTTCTATGAGATAGATATACTACAAATTATACAAATTCTATGTCCGTGAAAATGATGTAATATAATAAATTGGCTTTTCTGAACTGCTGAATAGTAATAGATTATTGATAAAAGTTCTTAGAGTCTTAAAAGTTTGGAAAATGCAGTAATTCCAAGTTAAATTGCTATCTGCACTTCAGAACTTACCAGTTTTTAGTATTCTATTATCTACTGACTTTGCTAATGAAGCTCTCTCCTCAGAGTACACTTATATGAAAGGTACTTTGGAAATGCTATGATATAAATGTTATAATTTATACACACTTTTAGTTTTCAAAATTCATTGCCATATCCATGATAATCTCCTATGCCCTTTAAAGAAGTAAACACAAACTGATATCGTTATAACATTATATTCAGAAGCTATTTTACTGAACCATGGGAAGTCTTGCTCAATATTATTCTTTCTCTTCCCATTGTTTGACTTCTCAGACCTCTGTCAACACATTTATTTTACTTTCATGGGTCAAGCTGAGGTATTTCTTTTATATTTTATTTTCTTTCCTTTTGGTTCACAACGTTTGGTATTTTCCTTAACTCCAAC